CCTTGCGATGCGTACGCGTAATAGCTACGGACATGCGAGCTCGTCACTGACATCACCTGTATCTAACTCCTTGCTCTCTCGACAGATTTGCATAAGCTTCTTTATGCTATAGAAAACCATTTCGTTTGTAACAGCACCTTTGCTGCTCTTCATTAAGGATTTGTTTTTGAGAAAGAAGCAGGAGAATAATATCGCTTCAGCTTCGGCATTCCAAGTAAGACTGCTACAAATTTGAAACTTGCTATAAAATTTTTATCAGGAGTAGGAGTAGTAAATCTTTTGATTCGTCCTTTCCAATAGTGCAAGGCCTGTATCAAATCAGCAGCTTGGGGAAGAATGTATAAGCAATGCAATTTGTGATTTGATTTTAGGCAACTTGTCCAAAAATCATAACTAAAACCATAATCCTTCGCAAAGGTACTCATTTGATATAAACTCTGTACATTGGAAAGAGTCGATTAAAAGACTTACTGCTGTCGGGATTTTATAGTAGGTTTCAGATGTTTAGCAGCCTAACGAAATGTCCGAAGCTGCAGCAATTTCATTCTCCTGCTTCTTTCTCAAAAGCTATGCCTTATTGGAGAGCGTGCAATTATGCTTGTGCAAATCCGCCGAGAAAGCAGAAGCCAATAAAGCAGCGAAATGACTCTCCAAAAACAGTACGCACGAACTTCTGTACCAAACTAATACTTTGTGTGATACATACAGAACATTTCTTCAGAATAACAATCACCTGAGGTTCCTTATTCTCTCCCAACTCCTCACTTTCTTTTGTCACCAACACAGGCACATAAGAACCATTCTGAAGATAGTTTAGCTGGCCTCCAGCGACCTATAACAGATTTGACTGCTTTTCAGATAGTCTAAGAACATCAGCAGCACCTGCAACAGCCCGCCTTTTCTGGGCGGCAGAATTCCAAGCACAGCATTCATATCGTCGATACATTCAGCTCCATCGTCTTGCGCCGATTCTGCTTCCGTTCTCTTGCGCAAATCAATGAATTCGAAATCAGCCGGAGTAACGCTGTAAGCATTTGAACTAATCGTATGTAACCTGCGACTACTGATGACCACACCTCTCTTCATAAGGCAACGGAAGCCACTGTCGGATATAATTCCATAACGGTCTCTCATTACTCAGCAGATCAGACAAGCGATCACAGAAGTCCGATTCACTCAAGGTCTGACCTGGATAAGTAATCCGATGACAGTGGATCTTCAGAGCATAAAATGACCTTACCCATTGTACCGATGGTTTTCAACAGACTTCTCGTATTCGAACTTCTTGATCGTGTGCCATTGCAATAAGCCTTAAAATCTCGCGTATGCTATTCTGGGATGATAAAAAAGTTCGTAATCTGTGTATAGAATTTGGAAAAAAAAGGCAGTTCTAGCTAGAAAAAAAATTAACGCAATCCTCCCTGCGCATGAACCTTTGCCACCTTGTCGCAAAACTATCAATCCTACTGTTAACACGTTGACGACCGTGTGTGCACACGCGCGTACGCACATCTTGACCA